GTGTCGGATATTGAAGGTTTGCGTGGATGAAGAGTTTCGATCTCAGACTACCTTATTTGATTGCGCGGTTATTTAATAATGAAAGGTGGATGAACTACACTGACACAGTCTTAATGCTCTATAGAGTGCATAGAGTAAGGTGGGCTAGGCAGATAGTAAGTTGTATTTGGTCACGACGGAACTACAGCGTTGTCGAATAACGACCTAGGTAGGAACGGTATCTAAATGTTGAGAGCTATCAGAGAGAAAAGTGATGAGCGAGAGGGTATCCAAAAATAAAAGAGCTAGAAAGGTATCGAGTAGTATTTGATTCTACTGGTATCGAATAGTGTCCGGAGAGGTTGATATCGTATAGTGACGGGAAAGAGATTGCTGCAGCAGTAGAAAATAGTGAGATTAATCGCAGGAGCAAGAGCTGTATAGATGAATCATTAGGAACTACGATGGTATCGCATATTGACAGTAAAAAGTTGTTTTGTGGTATCGAGAAAGACTAAAAAGAGAATTGATCTTTGACTACCATATTGATTAAAGTTTCAGCGGTTTTTAATGATATAAGAGCTACAGATGTATCACGTCGTCGCTACCGCAGTATTGCATAGTCGTAAAGCGTTGCAATCACATTGTGGTATCGAATTATGGCATGATTTAGAGTGATATCGAATAGTGACAGGATAATATTGATGCTAATGTGGTATCGAATAGTGACCGGAACCAGTATGGTGTCAAATAGTGACTGGACTTACCGAAGTATCGAATCGTGAAGAGAGCTAGATAAGTATCGAAATATGACGAGAGCTGGGAGTAGGGTTGTATCGAATATTTAATTTTTCTTCTCTACATTCGTATTGTGTTTGTCTTTTTTCGGGCACTGATTCTGACATATCATCCTTGAGCACTTGGTGGATATTGTATACCCAACTTGACATGTTTGCCAATAAATTAATTAGTTTGTTTAAATGTAAAACCTCTATGGACACAATTCAAACCCTTATTTAACCGAGCTTCTTTTATTTTAATTGTGAAGATCAACCTACGCCACTACAATAGGTACCACAAACGATCTGCCGATCGCGGTAGACAATGTTCTTCCCGAGGAGGAAAACTACCGTACAGATCAACTTCACAAACGTAGCTTTTCACTCATGACAGCTTGATTTTAATGAAATAAAAACCAGTTAGAAGAGCTTTTTTTGTTCTAATATGTGTGCTGTCCATGGATCGAATTGATACGAGGAAATATGTTTAATATAGCTCTAAAATTGGGGAAAATGAAACATTTTGTGTCCGACCAGCGCCCGGCATCGAAACCTTGCCACAACCACTCTTCTTTTATCATAAACTGCTCGGTCGAGATTGCGTGTACAACAATAACTTTTGCACTGTTAGAAAGGTCAAAATCTGACCTTTACCCTCATACTACACACTGACGGAAAAGCCAAATGGTCTAGATCTCTGTCCCTCGAAACAGAAAGTAGTAGTGTTGCTTCCGGTTTCGCACATTTTCAACTTTATCTTTTGGTAATATTTTAGTTTTTAGTTTTACCTCAATGCAACTACTTTTCATAACAAGTTGACCAAAGGTGTTTTATTGATAAAAATATGAACCATGGATGTATGATGTATGGCTTGGGCCTAGATCTGACCCTGTATTCCCTTTCTGTTAAAATTCTTGGGCTACGACTACGACACTGCAGATTACTTCTTTATTTTAAAAAAATACTTTTTCATCCTCTGTTGCGTTACCGTTAAGCGTCAGGGGGTTCTATTACAATAATCATGAATAATGTCAGTTCTATTTTGCCCTGCCCAAAATACAATATATATTAAAATAAATTTAGTGCGGATCATAGATCTAGATCTTGATCTCGAGATTTTAATTTCACTCTGTCTCTTAGATAAGTCTATACATTGCTTGCTTTTGGGGGTCAGGCTGTCATATTTTTGGGTGCAGAACACTAAAACCATTGCAAATGATTTTCTCAAAATCAAACTAAACGGGATATTGCATGCAGCACTTCAAGCATTCCTTGAAAGCCTTTTTTGTTGTTTTGTTTTGTAATAGATTGTCTTCCAATGGTAACAACTGCAAATACTGAGACTGAGACTATCTCTCAATTGCATCTTTCATTAAATTCAAAAGATGATCAAATATAACTTCAAGTTGTATTATAATATTATTATTGGGGCAGGTAACTAACGGGGGCTCTCGTGGCCTAGAGGTTAAGGTGTTGGCCTCTCATTCAAAGGTCCGGGGTTCGATTCCGGGTAGCGACCAAAAAATGTTCTTCTCTAAAATTGTCTCCTTTCACATCCTTTCCTGATCTCTAACAATGTTCTGTTGTCTGCTTTCATTTCCACTTTCTGCCCCCACCCCCTCACCTCCTTTGCCCCCTCCTCTGGGCTCCTGACTCTTTCTACAGCCTTTCTACTGCTACTCCTTGGCTCCTCCTAACTGCTGTCTTTCTGCCACACCCCTGATCTTCTGGTAGGAAAGATCTACACCTAGCCTTCTCGGACAAGGGCGAAAAATCTCGGAGGGCCCGTGTGCAAGTTGCGCACGTTAAAGATCCCTTGGTGATCTAAAATCGATAAGAAGAGGCTTCGGCCGCCACCCGGGCAAATTTCAAAATTTCCTACCAACGAAAAAGTGTTAGGTGTGTCCCGCGCGCTCATATGACCTTATGCAGTTGCGAGCGCCGTAAAATCCTATACTAAACAAACAAACAAAGATAACTAACTCAGTCTCTCTCAATTTGGTCAGCAAACACGTATAAATAGATATCAGCTGCCTGCTCTAATGTCGACATTGCATCATCAGTTGCAGTCTCCTTATTTAGTGTCCTTAATATTATCAAGTACTTTACAGTTACAAGTACTGTAATTCATTTCTTATTACACAGAACTTGTAATGAGCTTTCCAATGGTATATATTCCTCTCCGCCTAACTTTTTGGGTTGATTTTGTTTTTGCACTTTTGCAAATTCAGATGTTTAGATGTAGTTGAACGTCATTTATTTGTAAAAATTATTGTTACTTTAACATACATTTTTGTAACTATCATTAAGTACCGTACGCAAACTATACAGTTACTCCCCCTTTTTTCTTATAGAGCTTGTAATGAGCTATCCAGTTGCTTTTTTTTCGAGGATTTTTAATGAATTTTCGAAAAGTCCGATGTTATGCTGAGCGACGATAATTTTCCAAATTGTTGCCTATTTTTTTGTAACATCCTTTAGTACCCAGTCATACCATACAGTTATTACTACTATTTTCAGCAGATAGAGCTTGGGATGAGCTTTCCATATGTGTATTTGACATCTGTCTAGCTTAATTAGTTGATTTTTAAATGAATTTTTGAAAAGTCGGATGTTTAGTTGAACGCTGCTAATTTTTCAAATTATTGCCTACTTTTTTGTTACAGCCTTTAGTACCCTGTCTTGCCATACAGTTACTACTATAATTTTTAGATAGAGCTTGGAATGAGCTTTCCAGTGGTATATTTCACATCTGTTTAGCATAATTAGTTGATTTCTTATGACTTACGAAATAAAGGCCCCAAACTGCAATTTTGACATTAGTTTATTCCCCTTGGGCATTTTCGGCCAGCATACCCCTTGGATAAGATCATATCTCTCTTGTATTTAAGGTTTAATCCTTTAAAAAATTTAGTAAAATCTCTGTGTGTATATTTTACAAGATTTGCATTTTGATACTTATCCAAAAATAAATGTTCATTTTACGTATCTTTGAAAATGGGGTTCCAAGCCATTCGCATTCATTTTTTAACTTCGTTGTCACGTTTCCCTTCGGGTTTGAACTACTATAATCATTACAATAGCTACATGAATTATATTGTAATTTCTTTTACGCTAAGTTTGAGTGATTTTGTCTAAGAATATGTAAAACACTTTTGATTTTCAATAACATTTTTCATATAGTGTGACCATGAAATCGCGTTGTGAGCCTGTTGCGCACACGTCACGATTTTTACATGTCCAATAAATAATATTTGAACCCCCATATCTCAGGTGTTTGTTTGATGGATTCTGATAATTCTTTTTTTTTAGAATAGTCCTCGTTTCACTGAGTACTATATGGAAATTATAGTCTTGTTATAGTATTCGTCAAAAAATAAAATTTTCATTTGTGGTACCTAACTAAAATTAAATAAATCCCCACGGAAATCAAACTCACGTCCTATACGTGAAACTTTGATTACTTTGAAGAACACAACCACTACACCAGTCACGTGCTTGTCAATCTTTTTATTGGCCTTTTTTCTAACTTTAAAAAGACAACTTCTTTCATACCACCCAGCAGCATGTATTTCCAAGTGGAGTATCAATAAATAATATCTGTCACAACCAGGGTGATCCCCATCGCCTACCCAGATTACAAAATCACTCATTAGTATTTCAAGCACTGAACTACGCCGAGGGCATCTGGTAAGGCGTGCTAGCGTAAATCCCCAGAACTGCGGTTATTGTTTTAAATTATGTCAATTGGGGAGCAAAAGCATTCGTTCTGACATGTCAAGGATGCTGAAAAGGTTTCGCAGTATTAATTGTAACTGGAAACTGCTACAGTCTCGCAGACCTTTCTTTGACAGGCTAGCTACTCATTTGGTAAGGGAAGTGCGGAATGGCATATTATTATCTGACACTTTGACGCATCGTCGCAAGGACAGAATCAGTTCAAGGTGTCATCGCCACACCCACAGTACAAAATACGTCATTACCGTTCATTGTGAGGAGGGGTGGGGAGGGCTAGGAAAAGAGAGAGAGAAAGATAGGCAGACAGACAGGCAGACAAACAAACCTAGATGGGCAAGGAGTCAGGGAGACAAAGATGGAAAGAGAGAGAGAGAGAGAGAGA